CATGTGCCCTAAAAACCTCTCTAAAAAAATTAAGAAAAAAAAGTTTCTACAGGTCACTGTACTGATGAGAGAGAGAGAGAGAGAGAGAGAAGAGAGAGAGAGAGAGAGACAGGGAGGGAGAGAAAGAGAGAGGGAAATTAAGAAAACAAGCTACCAGATCCAGGACTTGACTTGAGGTTGGCCATGTGGGAGTCCAGCACGTGAGTTTAAGCCACTGGGTCTGGGACTTGAACCATGGTTGGCTACATGGGAGTCCAGCGACATAGCCATTACGCCAACTGCTGGTCCCCCAAAATGGCCCTTTTAAATAGATCCTATTGTTGGAGTCAAATCAGCGAGAAATAAGAGGACATCCAGACATAGCAAAATTATTGAAGTTTTATTGCCGGCAGCTTTCGGGAGGACTCGTGTCTCTCAAAGACCCCATAGCCCTGAATGAAAGGAGTGGGGTGTTTATAAAGGCAAAAAATCACAATTATTTCTGAGTTGGCATGGTGATTGCCATGGAACGTGAGGAAGGGGTAGAAAGGAAAGGGAGTGAGTTTCTACGTGAAAGCAATTACAGAAGCCGAGTCAAGCAGATGAATCATTGCTAAGGGCACTCTCCAGACCTTTGTTCAATGGCTCCCATGGCTCCAGGCAAGGGGCTGGCGATGTGCGATTACATTGCTAGGGAATATCTAAACAAAGAGGTTTTGGGCTACTTAGTAAAAGCAGTGACTATTAACCCCTCTATCTACTGTGGGCCAAAGGAGGAAGCAAGGAATCAGATAAATCGAATTCACAATGAAACTGGCAGTATTGCAACAGACATAACAGAAATACAAACCATCAAAACATATGTAATTTGCAAATATCTTGTGGCTTGCATCTCCCTTGCCTCAGCAGTGTCATCCCAAAAGTAATTCTTCATTTTTGTGAAATCGAAATTAACTTTCTTCTTTTGTGCAATGAGTTCGTATTGTTATATTAAATAAATCCTCATAACAATAAAAAAAAAGAGGAGGAAGAAGTATAATGTCAAGTTCAAAGAGGGAGGTGCTCCTGTTTCACTAGCTGAGGGATCTTTTCAGGGCCCCCTTTATGTCTTTATTCCTCAGACTGTAGATGAAGGGGTTCAGCATGGGTGTGATCACAGTGTACCTCACCGAGGCTGCTGCACTTCAGAGTGAGCTGTGGGTAGCACCAGGACTAAGATACACACCCAGGCCTGTGCAATAAAATAAGGAGACAACTGAGAGGTGAGAAATACAGGTAGAAAATGCTTTGTACTTCCCCTGAGCTGATGAGATTGTACAAATGAAGGAAGCTATCTTACAGTAAGAGTAAAGGATCCCAGTGAGGGGACCACCACCCAGCAGCACAGATGCAAAATAGGTCACCATGTCATTAAGAAAGGTGTCAGAGCAGGCAAGGTGGACCACCTGATTCAGTTCACAGAAAAAGTGAGAGATTTCCACGTGTGTGCAGAAGGACAGCCGCAACACTAGTAAGCTATGTAACAAGGAAATCAAGACACTCAGGGTCCAGGACGCCAGAACCAGAAACACACAGAGCCCGCAGTGCATGATGATGGTGTAGTGCAGGGGATGACAGATGGCCACATACCGGTCATAGGCCATCACAGTCAGGAGGAAGTCATCCAACATTACAAAAAGATTGAAAAAGAACATCTGGGTGATGCAGCCTGCATGGGTGATGACCTGGCTCTGGGTCTGGATGTTCACCAGCATCTTTGGGACGGTGGTGGAGGTGAAACAGATGTCAGCAAAGGACAGGTTGGAGAGGAAGAAGTACATGGGGGTGTGCAGGTGGGAGTCTGAGATGGTGACCAGGATGATGAGCAGGTTTCCACACACAGTGATCAGGTACATGGAGAGGAAGAGCCCAAATAGGAGGGGCTGCAATTGTGGTTGCTCAGAAAATCCTAGTAGAAGAAATCCTGAAATGTGTGTTTCATTCCTTGGTTCCATTTACTGGATGTGCCCACCAAATAAGGAGGAAGAGACTACAACAGAAGCATGCATGATTCACATTTCAGAAATGCTGTCCTTTGTAATTAAAAATTTAATTTCTGTAATTTCTATGTGAAGCCAGTTCCCTTTAAGACATTCCCCATCATGTCTAATTAAGGATTTCTCCTCTAGGATCAGTCTTTTCCCAGGACTATGTATTCTGCAGAGTTTTTTCAATATCTTTGTTTTATGATTTGTTACTTACACTCAATCATTGTACATCGCTGTAGCATACTATATGCTTTTCAAAGTATGCATGTATTATGTGATAATCAAATCAAAGATCTTACCATAAACATCATTTTTTCTTTTCTTTTTTTATGATTTAAAGTTTAATTTTTTGTTTTGCTTGAATACCTACAATTTTTTTTTTTTAAAAATTTTTGCTACAGGACATTGCACTCACCCCGTTCGCATCCTGGATCCGGTGGCTTAAACTCACGCTGGGCGCGTGTGCGTGCGTGCCCAAGATCCCGAGAGGAGAATGGAGGAGAAGGGATTG